ATTTTAATAAAGAATAATTTTTAAAAAATTTTCTCTTATAAAAATTTTAATCATAAAATTAATACTGCATAAAATTAATACTGCATACTGAAATAAAAAAATTACATATAAAGTACATATTTGTTATCATATTTGAAAATTGTATATACAACAAAGTTTATATATTGTAAAAATTATCAATTAACAATTGTATAATAATGGCTTATTAAATGTATACATTATTAAATATATACATTCACTTAATTTTTTAGAATTGCCAGAATATGCGGGAATCAACGATGTTATTCTATCCTTCTTATTCGTCAAATATCAAAAAAAGATAGATATTGTATACTTATAGATATGATCTGGCGCTTAGCATACTAGCGGACATTACGTAGCCACGCGAATTAATGATGTTCAGTGGTGCTGACACTTGTAATCGCCACAGATACCAAAATGCAAATTGATGTAAATACGAGGGTCGTTTGATAAGTTTGGTAAATTTCCATGAGATGGCGCTACAATCCATTTGATGATGCGACATCTCGAAAGATCCACTCTTCGAACCCCTTCAGGCCAAATTTCAGCCAGAAAGAATGCATAGTTCATGTTTGGTAGTCATTTGAAATGAGTGGTTTAGCAGTTTCCGCAAAAATGGAAAAAAATGAATTCCGTGCAGAAATAAAACACTTTTATTTAAAGCAGCGCAGATCAAAGCCGAGTTAAACGAAGTTCATGGGAACTCTGCTCCTGCATTGAAGACTATTTATTTTTGGATAAACGAATTTAAACGTGGCCGAACCTGCACTGAAGACGAAGCGCGTTCCGAACGACCTGTTGAGATTACCACATTGGATATCGTGGAAAAAATCCATAGTATGATTATGGAAAATCGTCGAATGAAGGTGCGTAAGATTGCTGAGGCTGTAGTCATCTCCACGAAGAGAGTGCATAACATCTTGCACGAAAAATTGCATGTAAAAAAGCTGTGTGCACGATGGGTGCCGCGATTGCTTACTCTCGATCAAAAACGCATGCGAAAGGACATTTCAATGCAGTGTTTGGTGATGTTTAAGCACAATCCGCAGGACTCTTGGCGTCGATTCGTGACTATGAACGAAACTTGGATCCATTATTACACTCCTGAGACGAAGCAGCAGTCAAAGCAGTGGATAATGTTTGGTGAAAGTGCGCCGAAAAAGGCGAAGACTGTTTTGTCGGTTGGAAAGATGATGGCCACTGTTTTTTGGGATTCTCAAAGAATTATCCTAATTGACTACTTGCAGAAAGGTAAGATAATAACAGGAGAATATTATGCAAAATTATTGGACCGTTTAAAAGAAGAGCTGAAAAAAAAACGGCCAAGATTGGCGCGCAAAAAAGTGCTCTTCCATCAAGACAACGCGCCGTCCCACAAGTCGACCGTTGCAATGGCAAAACTACACGAATTGGGCTATTGATTCCTCATCCACTCTATTCTCCGGATTTGGCCCTGTGTGACTTCTTTCTGTTCCCAAACTTAAAAACTTGGCTCGGTGGGAAGAAATTCTCGTCAAATGAGGTTGTCGCCGTCAATGAATATTTTGTAGACTTTGAGACAGTCTACTTTTTCGACAGTATTAAAAAAATTGGAAACTCATTGGACTAAGTAGGTGTACAACTTTGCTTCCGCCGTTTTTTTTCCGAAATTCGAGGCTTTATTGTAAAAAACTGATTATACATTTATGATTCAAAGTATTGTCCATCGCTGGCCACTACTTTCTCCCATCTTTCGGGTAGCGTACGAATCCCGCGTCGAAAAAACTGGGCATCTTTTGAGGCTATCCACGAATCGATCCAATATTTTACTTCTTCATAAGATCGGAAGTGCGGGGCAGCCAGGCCGTGTGCCATTGATCGAAACACGTGATAGTCAGAGGGAGCAACGTCTGGAGAATATGGCGGGTGGAGTAGGACTTCCCATTTCACCGTTTCCAAATATGTCTTGACCACTTTCGCAACATGGGGGCGAGCATTGTCATGCTGCAAAATCACTTTATCGGGTCTCTCGTTGTATTGCGGCCGTTTGTCTTTCAATGCTCGGCTCAAACGCATCAATTGCGTTCGATACCAATCGCCTGGGATTGTTTCAGTCGGTTTTAACAGTTCATACACTACGCCGAGCTGGTCCCACCAAATACAGAGCATGATCTTGAACATCAAAATCACCGTTCTTGAAGCTTTGAAATCACTCACGACACGTTCTTTCACTAATAGCGGCCTCACCAATTGTATTTGAGAGCATTCGATGAGCCTCAGCCGCAGATTTCTTCACATTGAAGCAAAAAATTAAAACCTCCCGCAAATGACGAGAATTTGGCTCGTAAACTGACATTTTCAATCGAGAATAACTTTATGAGGCAGACATAAATCGACTAATGTTTCCATGGGGTTATGTTGACAGATGCCCAAGTTTATTGTATGACGTCTATGATCTATTTATTTCGACCACCACTTACCGCTAAAGCCATCTATAGGAAAACGGCGGAAGCAAAGTTGTACACCTAATATATAGGCCTTGGAGTCTATATTGAGAAATAAAATAGATTTTTTCCAAAAAAATGTGTTTTACTTGCTTTTTTACTAAAATTATCAAAGACTCTCGTATAAGAAATAAAAAATCGAATATTTTTTTCCTCATATTAACATCATATATTCATCATGTTTGAGATACGCCAAACATTTAAACGCATATATACGAGTATATATATTTCGTATATATATTTCTGAAAACGAAGTGATTCGACAAGATTCGAACCTAAGAGCCTAAGATCTGTGAGATGGTAATCTTCATACTAACTGAGTTATAATCGCATGAATGTGTACATAATTCAAAATTCGACTGTTATTCGACTTTTCATAAGTTAATTTAGATAATTATTTAGAAGACGCTCCTCATTTTTAATTTCAATGAAAATATGCTCATTCAACGCGTTTTTGCATGAAATAAAAAAATCCTGTAGTAAAATGTATTTAGTATGACAGATTTCCTAATCTCAATAATCGTCAACTTTAATGTCAACTTTAGGCCCCGATTCGCCTAAACACATTTTACTACCAGATTCTTTCGTTTTATACAAAAAACGCATTGGATGAGCATAATTTCATTGAAATTGAAAATGACGAGCGTTTTCTAAGTAATTCTATATCTATCATTCTATATTCTATTCTATATTCTATATCTATCATAATTTTATTTCCAAGAAATTAAAAAATTATTAAAAACTACTATTAGTAAGCATTACAGTGGGGTATTTCCTATTATTGGTTGGCTGATAGATCACTTGATGCAATTCCATATAGAATTCCACAGTATTGCCTCTAGTAAATTCACTATAAAAATTTATAAGAGAAAATTTATTAAAACATATTAATCAGCCGACGGCCATAAGTTGTTTCTCATAACTAATATTTCATAGTTTGAAAAGTTTCATAGTTGAAAACTATAGACATAGTTTGAAAAGTTTCATAGTTGAAAACTATAGACACTTATAGGTCGGTACTGTACATGAAATATCATTAAAATTGATAAAGAGTTTAATATAGATAAAACACTAGGATAAAGTCGTCTATTATGAAATATCTTTTTTTAAAGGCTTATAATTTATTTAATTTAATTTGTAACCTCAATTTCTGTCTTCATGTCAAATTTATGGGAAATATATTTAAGTTTCGCCAAAAATTAGCAGTCAATAATAGCTATACTTTGTTGTATGTAAAATTTTTTATCATGCCGATTTTAATTATTTAAAAAAAAGATTTCTAATATGAAATACAAAAGTTTTCTTGTATGAAGTAATATCTCACTATTTCATACAAATTAAGGAAAATTAAGGAAATTAAAGAAAAAATAAAGATAAGCTTTTTATACACCCTTTTATTATATTATTATTATATTACACACAAGCAGAAGTAAAGAATTTAAATGTCATATACAATAATTATAAAAATTTTGAATATCATGATTCCCTAACTTAAAAGTAACAATAAAAGAAATAGAAGTGCTCGAGGGAATAGGCTATTCAAAATACGCTAGTTGTTAAAAAAAAATCTATCAATATACATTTTAAATTTATTGAAGAGACCGCAAAACAAACAATAATCGTTAAACGATAATAATTTTATATTTTTCGATTAGTCTTCTAACACATGTCTGTTGGCAAATTCATGGATTTCAATATTCAAAAATGTCTCAACACATATTTCACTAAGCCTCGAATAGCAATAGCTAATTCTTTTTCGATTTTTGGCGTCGTAAAGAAATATTTGATATGCTTCTTCTTTTGGAGTCATCATAACGCTTCTTCAAACGCCCATGCTACTTCGTAATTCTCAGAAATTAGTTCTATTGATTCAACAATCTCGGCTGTCGCTCAACGAAATAATCAAATATTGGAATTTTTGTATGTTTGGAATGCTCCCGTTAGAATGAATTGACTGAAACATTTCTGAGAAACGCTTCCATTCCTCGGTTCGTTCGTTAAACGTCGGAAGTTTCACTACTGGTAATTTGACTCTCGACTCTTGATATTAATACCATTTGCATCTACACATCAGTTGCGCTTACTGCTCGAATAATCTTGTAAGCGCGTTACTACTTGATGTTTGCGATTCGTTTTGTTGTAGGCTCAATTGTTGTATGAGCTCTCCCTGTTGCTGTAGCATTCATGCTAACACTTGCCAACAAGCGTGATTCGGATTGTTGAACTGACGCACTCGTTCATAATTTTCATTTCGAGATCTCGCTCCTTGAATTCTATGCCTTCCTTCTGCGAACGTCGGTTCATCTTTATTGCTTATTTCACGTATACTCGAATTCTCTTTAAAATTCCTCGAACTTTGCAATGTACACTTCGGCTTCTTCTCAACTTACCTCTTGTTCTTCGGCTTGGTCGATCCTTGTCTTATTATCTTTGCTTTGACTAGCTTCATTGCTTGCGTAGCTTCACTATATCATGTTTTTCTCGAACAATCTAACCTCATTTCTTTACTGTGTACACTTGTTTGTGGACTATATCACTAATATTGTACTCGCCAACCTTGCGATCCGTTTTGTATCGGACCAATATTTGGGATAGAAAAAAAAAAAATTTTAATATATTAAAAATTTTAATATAAATTAGCACTCGTTCCAAACTTAAACCATTTAATTAGCAAAATACAAAGCTCCTAAAAATTGCTGCGTGCGTACATGAACTCGTTGTCGTGCCTACTTACTCTCTTTGTGCAGTCATATAGAGTGAGAAACGGCGGAATGGAAAAAAACGGAAAAGACAAATGATGGAAATTAACCAATTAATCAGAACAATTCCATTACGTTTTTTTCGTAGCTAGATTTCACATGTTGAGAAAAATTTTGACGGGAACGGAACGGAATAATCTCAATATGGCAATAGCATATCAGTCTGTCAATATGGTAAGTATTTATTATAGTATATATGCAAAATATTGGAGATATTTTAACAATTAATACATATATATTTGTTATTAGAAACAATTAAAATGTGCTTATTGTGATTGCTGCTTGAAAGAGTGCTTTAAACAATTAATATATTTTTTATTAGGCATAATTAATATTACAAAGACAAACAAAGAAATTGCACAAAATATATGGAAAAGAATTGCACAATTAGGATGGCTGAAAAAAATGAAAAGAAAAAAATTAATCAAAGCTTATTTCCTGTATAAAGTTTTAAAAAAAAGAAAAAAATAGGAGACAAATTCACGAAGAGTATGAGTACGATCAATATGTACCAAAGAAAGAAGATGTGAACAAGGGGCGAGCAACCATCTATAAATAGATAGAGATTCTGAGAAATTTATTGAATATTTGCGAATGAACACAGATTTATTTAATGAATTACTAAAGTATTGGAATTCAAATAATATTTCGTTTTATAATATATAGCTTGATTAATTTTAGTAATTCATTAAATGTGTCCATTTGCAAATATTATACTCAATAAATTTCTTAGAATCTCTATTTATCATTCCTTTAATTAGATGATTGCTCACTCCTTGTTCTTTCTTTGGTATATATTGATACTCATCGTACTCTTTGTCTCCTATTTTTTCTTCTCTTTTTAAAATTTTATATAGGAAAATAAACTTTGATTAATTTTTTTCTTCTCATTTTTTTCAGCCATCTTAATTGTGGAATTCTTTTCCATGTACATATTTTGTGCAACAACAATTTCTTTATTTATCTTTGTAATGTTAATTATAAAATAAAAAATATATTAATTATTAAA